TGTGTGTTAGTTTAATATACACTCACCGGCCACTTTATTAGGTACACCTGTCCAACTGCTCGTTAACACTTAATTTCTAATCAGCCAATCACATGGCGGCAACTTAGTGCATTTAGGCATGTAGACATGGTCAAGACAATCTCCTGCAGTTCAAACCGAGCATCAGTATGGGGAAGAAAGGTGATTTGAGGGACTTTGAACGTGGCATGGTTGTTGGTGCCAGAAGGGCTGGTCTGAGTATTTCAGAAACTGCTGATCTACTCGGATTTTCACGCACAACCATCTCTAGGGTTTACAGAGAATGGTCCGAAAAAGAAAAAATATCCAGTGAGCGGCAGTTCTGTGGGCGGAAATGCCTTGTTGATGCCAGAGGTCAGAGGAGAATGGCCAGACTGGTTCGAGCTGATAGAAAGGCAACAGTGACTCAAATAACCACCCGTTACAACCAAGGTAGGCAGAAGAGCATCTCTGAACGCACAGTACGTCGAACTTTGAGGCAGATGGGCTACAGCAGCAGAGGACCACGCCGGGTGCCACTCCTTTCAGCTAAGAACAGGAAACTGAGGCTACAATTTGCACAAGCTCATCGAAATTGGACAATAGAAGATTGGAAAAACGTTGCCTGGTCTGATGAGTCTCGATTTCTGCTGCGACATTCGGATGGTAGGGTCAGAATTTGGGGTCAACAACATGAAAGCATGGATCCATCCTGCCTTGTATCAACGGTTCAGGCTGGTGGTGGTGGTGTCATGGTGTGGGGAATATTTTCTTGGCACTCTTTGGGCCTCTTGGTACCAATTGAGCATCGTTGCAACGCCACAGCCTACCTGAGTATTGTTGCTGACCATGTCCATCCCTTTATGACCACAATGTACCCAACTTCTGATGGCTACTTTCAGCAGGATAATGCGCCATGTCATAAAGCTGGAATCATCTCAGACTGGTTTCTTGAACATGACAATGAGTTCACTGTACTCAAATGGCCTCCACAGTCACCAGATCTCAATCCAATAGAGCATCTTTGGGATGTGGTGGAACGGGAGATTCGCATCATGGATGTTCAGCCGACAAATCTGCGGCAACTGTGTGATGCCATCATGTCAATATGGACCAAGCTCTCTGAGGAATGCTTCCAGCACCTTGTTGAATCTATGCCACGAAGAATTGAGGCAGTTCTGAAGGCAAAAGGGGGTCCAACCCGTTACTAGCATGGTGTACCTAATAAAGTGGCCGGTGAGTGTATATGCATATACATACTGAGAGTTAGTTTAATATTCCTAATCATTTGACAGAACATCATAAGAGAGTAAAATTCATTTTTGAGTGTGAAAAGAGCATTTTGTAAGGGATCAAACTTCCACTTAATACTTACTTGACAATGTAAAACATGATCAAAATGAGAAAATGCAGATGTCTCACCTGTTTGCACAATGTTTTTATATTTAATTTTCCGCTGCTGCCAAGTGCACTTTTGTCCCGCTGGATTGCACCTACATAAAATAAATTAATGGGCTCCATGCAAGCAGTTTCCCCTGCAACAGTCTGTCATTGTGATTGCACAAGACTAGATTTAAACTTACGCATTGATGCAGGCTGCAATTTCCTCCCATGCCCTCTCCCTCTCCTTTGCAGCTGCTGCTGTATTGCACTTTCTTTTAAAAACGTGCTGTAATTCGCCGTTGGCTTGCATCAGTACTTCCAGCTCCACTTGCGTAAAAAATGCTGCCCTCCTTCTCCCTGTTTCCATTGGTTGATCAATGAATCTGGGCTCCACAGATGCTGGCTGTTTATGTCTGGCGTGCACGTGCTTAACTCCAGGTCAAACTACTCGGAGTTGCTAAAACTGACTCAAATCAGGTGTTGTGAAACCGGAAACTCAGAGTTTCCTATCTCAGAGTAGATCAACTCAGAGTTAAGGATTTGACTCAGAGTTTGCTGAACCACCTACGTGAAACGGACCCCTGGTGGCTTCCAACACTACTGGCATGACAGGTGCTTTCTCCTTTAATGAAACAATGGAGCTCCAGGTTGTGCAGGGGCGTCAAACAGCAGCTGGTTTTGTGGAGATGTTGCAGCAGGCGTCCCTCATGACCGGGTTTCTCAGCAGGACAACGCTACAATTCACAATGCCTGTCTGACCAAGAACTTTTTCAAGGAGAATAGCATCACTCTTTTGGACTATCCTGCATGTTCCCCTGATCTAAATCAATTGAGAACATTTGGGGATGGATGGCAAGGGAGATTGATAAAAATGGACATCAGTTCCAGACAGTGGATGCCCTTCGTGAAGCCATCTTCACCATTTGAAGCAATATTCCCACTAGCCTTTTGGAAACACTTGCATCAAACATACCACAATGAATTTTTAAAGTATTTATCAATAATGGTGGAGCTACTCATTACTGAGTCAGTTTTTGACACTTTAATTTCTGTTTTTGGAGGTGTTTAGGTTTTTTTGAGCTGTGGTCTTAAACTTTTGAACAGCTGATGAACAGCCTATTTCAGTTAAATTGTTGTTTTCAATAAATTGTCTGCTAAAAACTTTTGGTCTCTTGTTCCCATTTCTTATTTTTGCATTTTGAAGCTCTAGTAAGAACCGTCTTAAGGTCCAACAGTGCTATATATCAATTCTTGCCATTTTTTAACTGGTTTTAAGATTTTGATCAGGAGTGTAGGTAGAAAGAAAGAAAGAAAGAAAGAAAGAAAGAAAGAAAGAAAGAAAGAAAGAAGCTACATCCTCTGTGTCTCTTTGGTGATTTAATGTTGTGCATTATTTTTTTTAAAGTCAACGTTTGTTTAAAAAAGTTTTTGATTTGTCTTTCAAATGATTATCAGAAAGTTAAAATTTCAGGCTTGGCCTTGAATATTAAACTTAATTTTTGTTGACCCCAGGCGGACAGTGACGTACACTTTTCATCCTCCTTTTTAAACATAATTTGTATTTAATTCTCTATTCTATATTTCTTTAGCTTTTATTATTAGATTTAGATAGCCTTACCAAGATAAGTTCCATTTTACTAAGTTACCGCGCCGACTGAACAAACATGTTTCAAACGTGTTTCATTGTTTTTCCGAGGAGCACGTAAATGCCCCACAGTTCACCGACCTTTTGGGGTTTTTTTATTACACAGCGAAAACCTCATGTTAATTCAGACCTGATTACGTTATGAATATGTAATATTTGGGTTCAAGTTTGGAGGAACTAAATAAGTATCTGAGGAGAACACACGGACATCTTTATATTCGCTTTGTCTTCAAAACTGTTTGAATGAGAATTTCCTCCTTCATCGATTTCCCTTTCTCTACTTCCGGAACAATAAACGGGAGCTGCTGCTGCTGCTGCTGCAGCTATTAGGAAATAAACACGCTGCCCCCTACTGTCGGGGAGCAGCGGTACAACACCGGTATAATAATAATAATAATAATAATAATAATAATAATAATAATAATAATAATAATAATAATAATAATAATAATAATAATGACTACAAAGTGTGTGGGTGTAATATTGAATATAAATATAATACTGATATGATAATACTGAAATGGTCTTGATTTGAATATTATGAAGAATGGAAAAAAACCTCTAAAACAATAACCCTGATAAACAATAAAAACCCCTGTACCAACAAAGTTATATTAAACATTTAACATGAAAACACAAAAAAATGGAAGACTGCAGCAAAAAATAGATTTATAAATATAACCAAGGAGCTCTTGATGACCTGACTTATTGACAGAGTTAGTATTTGTAGAATGTTAAAAGCACCTAAAGTCAAAATAAAACAAAACACACTTTTATCAGTTATGTGCACAATTTATTATGTCATATAAAAAAATATTAAGCCTGTGGACACTAGATAATGAGTGCTGTTAATATCATATTATGTTTGAGCACCTGAGTTATTGTCTCGAGGGATTTAGAAATGATCTTGTGCACAATGAAATAGTCATTAATATGTGTATGCAGGACATTTTCTTTCACTGACAATATAATGAACATGTGGGGACAAATTATGAGCTTATGTGTACATCAAAATATATTTATCATAAAAGATATTTTACATTTTGAACACAAGTTATCATCTTGTGCAAACTAAAAACTCTCACTGTACTTGTATGTAAAGTGAAATTACTGAGTTTACAAGTTAAAAGTTTGTCTGCATATGCACAAGATTAATTGTCATGAGGTTGAGATATTTTCTTAATAATCTTGTCGGAACAAGTTATCGTCTTTAGCACACAGGATATTATTAAGGATGATTATGAGCAACATCAAAAAAGCTTGTGTCCCAAACTACAATGGAGGATTGAGGCCACATTATGAAAAAAATTTACGAGAATAAAGTCGTAGTAAAATAATTACTTACGAGAGTAAAGTCAGAATGTAAATGTAAATGTTCTTTATTTATACAGCCCTTTACAACAATCCTTTCGGTGAACCAAAGTGCTTTACAATACATAATAAAAATGAATAAATAAAAACAATAAAAAGCTATAAAAACAAAGTCCTTATATTCAAACCTGTTGTTTAAGATGACAGTTTTTGAAATAAGAACCATGGAGCATTTTGTGAAAATGTACTTCAATATATCTTAATCTTTTGGCACAACAACACCACATTATCATAAGTACAGTAGTAGTAGTAGTAGTAGTTGATTCGACTTAATTCTCATAAGTAATGATTTTACTACGACTTTATTCTCGTAAGATATAATTTTATTACAACTTCACTCTCATTCTCATAAATTAATTACTTTAATCTCGAAGTCTTAACTTTCTCGAAGTCTTAATTTTTTTTCTCAATGTGGCCCTAATACTCCATCGTAGAACATAGTCTTTAGCACTCAAGATATTATTATTATTATTATTATTATTATTATTATTATTATCATTATCAACAAAAATAACAAAATAGCCTGTATTCTTAAAAAATGACGTAAATATATATTTTTTTCAGAGTATTACTGAATACTGTCTGCTGCTGTCGTCAGGCGCCAATGAATGAGGGCCTGCAGTACCGTCTGGCTGCCAGCGGGGGCGCTGTTGCTGCCGACCATACCCATAAGCGGGGGAGTGAGAGGTGCATGAAATGGAGAAAGATGGCGGATCATGTGCAGGTAAGCAGAGGTTTCATGTTTTTGTCACCGACAGTTTATCCAGGAGCCCGATATTGGGTGTGAAGACGAATTCGGGTGCTGCGTTCCCCGCAGAGAGACAGCGTGCGGCCGCTGCGTGGCGGAGGCGGCGGTGCGGGGCTGTCTGTGGGGAAAGGAGGATGAGTCCGCTCGGGCTGCTGCGGCCTGCTGTCACTGCTGTTAGCTCAGAGAGAAACCAGGCTGAGAAACGACAACAAAGCCCCAGGTTTGAGTGTGTTTGAACCCCGGGCTCTTATCTGACCGGTTTGAGCGCATCCCCGGGATAACGGCGCATTTAATGGCGCATTACCGTGAAGTAAACAATAAAAGAGCGAGACGGACACTGACAGGCTAACACGGAGGAGACAGCCTCAGTTTGGCGCCACTCACAATAACAACACAGACTAAACTGAAGCCACGAAGTCAAACATGAGAATTTGATTGTGCTCACTGTGCGAAGTTATCGATAATATCCCTATTTTTTCCGATTTCTGCCGAAATCAGCCGATCTGTTGGCCGAGCGTGCTAACGTTAGCTTCAGCACAGACGTCAACTTCTCCCGCCCGAGTCCTTTTAGAAACCCTGATCCGTTTTATCTGAGGGTTACTCAGATACAGAGGCTCTTTTCACACTGTTATGACACCCGAACTTCGAACTGGACTCAGAGGGAGCCGAACTTTGGTGCTGCTTATGTTCGGATCTTAGCGGTGCTGTTTGGGTTAGTTAGCCTGATGTAAGCTAGCAGCAGGACACATGTTCGGGGTTCAAACAGAGGAGAGGGTCCAGTACTGAAGTGATATTTCCCAGTACAACCATTATTACATGCTTTTATCATGTTATTCCTCAGTGAATGTCCTGTTAGAGCTGTTGTCTCTGTTTTAAAGCTTACTCTTTGTATGTTGTTGTTGATGCGCTGCTAGCTTGTTTTGAGGCTAACGCGGGGCGGGGGTAACACACGTTACAAATGTTCGTTTACTTAGATATGAAGTATTATTTAATATTTGCAATAATTAGAAAATAATTGCATAAAAACTTTTATCATGTTTTGACTCATAAAAACACATAAAAACAGCCATTAAAAACTAATGAACTGAAAAATAAGGAAACAAAACATTAAAGTATGAGATAAAAAGTAAGAGAGGAGGACAGAGATGAGTGTAGGGCTGGGCGATAAAACTATAACAATATATATCCAAAATTAATTTTTCTCAATGTCAATATAAAACATGATCAATATGCTTTTCAATAGTCGGAATTCTGTCATGTTTTGGTCGACTATACGAATAGCCAATGAAAAGAGGAGTTAAGGTCCTTACACACAGAACGCAAAATTACGAAATATTCAGAGGCGAATTTTGATGCTCCTGACTATACACATCAAGCCCGATGCAATTTTGTGACTTTCCGGGGGGGGGGGGGGGGGGGGTCGGGAGATTTTTTTTTTTATTATTATCATGTGATTGACTCAATACGTAAACTGCGCACTTCAGAAATCGGCCCTTTAAATGACACTTGGACGGTCAGCAAATCCTCCTGGCTCCTTCGCTGACGAGAACCAATCATAGGCCAAACTGCGTTCCATTATTCCAATCATGCGCACACTCTTCACGTGTACTTGGAGTGCTTGGAGAGCCTATGGTAGCATTGCAAAGCTGCAAGAATGAGAAGCAGGACTTATCCACGCCGGTGTTGTGCCGTAGAATGCACCCCTGCCGTAGAATGCCCCCCTGACGGGAGCGCGGTTGAAAGTTCACAACAAGGCGAAATAATCCAAGTTTTCCTAACCGTTGGACGGATTCAAAAGCGTGTGCCTTTAATGACTTCATTCAGGTTCTAGAACTTGTTGTCCTATGCTTTGGCCCATGCTTGAAGCCTTTTGTGACAAAATAAAAACTTGTGAACCCTGGTCTTTTTAACACTCCTTTTCGCCGCTGAAGTTATTCATTGATTCATTAAAACATAATGGTTTTGAGCCATCTAAAATAGCGAAGGCGGGCGTCTCGCGTTTACTGATCTGCAGGGCTCTCAAGTCTCACGCATTCAGCGTGTGACACACGCATTCCCACCCGTTCACACGCTCACACGCCACACATTGTATTTCTCACGCATTGTATTTCTCACGCATTTACATGAACATGGTGATGTCCACCAAGTTGCACCTCTGTAACAATGGAACAGGTAGAAACAACTGAGTAAAATAAATAAAGTATATATACTGAACAGCCAATAAAGTATATATACTGAACAGCCAATCAAAAAGCAGCATTGCTGTATCCGGGTAGATTTTGATATCTTGCGGTTTGACTACAGAAGAAGACAGACACTCGCCGAAATAGAGCAGGTTTTTATAAGGACGAGAAAGACCCGATGATTACAGTAAGTCAGTAACCTACACATGCAGAGACCTCAAAACCTCATGGCAGATAAACTCATATGATAAACTTAAGCCCTATGCTATTGCTATTAACAGCTGTATTGATGAATTTAGCCTCTGTACAGCCATTTCCAGCCATTTTCCCCTCCACAAAAGCAGCATTTCTCATATATTCTTTTTAAAGTTCTGACAGTGTCACGCTCATGTACCAAAGGATTAAGTATCTCCATGTTTGTGAAACCTATACTGAAGTACAATTCATCTAAATGCTCCTCAGTGCTGATTTTAGCAACTCTCCTCCACAACAGGTAACTTTACGACTTTATTCTTACACATTATTGATTTTATTCTCCTAAATAATAACTTTATTGTCTAAGATTTAAAAACGTTTTTTTTCTTAATGTGGCCCTCATACTCCGTTGTATTTAAGAGATTATTATACTATATATATATATATATATATATACACTATATATTGTTATACTAATAATTATCTTCAATCACTCTTCTCTTAGAAAACTAACCCAGACAGTCATCCTCTCTGTTGATACACCCCTCATCCTCAGAAAGCTCAGAAAGGGAGAGCATCTTGCATATATCTAAGTTTTCTTTTGGGATAATAACAAACTTCAGAGATCTGGTTATGGAAGAACAATGTTGGATTTTTGCAAATATTTTCAAACTCTTTTTTTTAATCCTGATACTGAGACTTTCCAAGAACCTCATCAGCCTGCAGAGGCCCTCGTCCTCCACCACGCTAAAAACACTAGCTTTAGTGATTTCTGTTGTTGTTGTTGTTGTTCAGCTTTACCTCTAAGTGGTCCTCAGCCAACACTGTGAAAGTCATTGTTGGCGTGTAAACTGCCATGATAATCACATAATCAGTGCATGGTTTAATCAGCTGTATTTACTAGCAGAGAATATGATATCAGTAACTCTTCGATCATGAGATGAATTATCATGTCCTTAACCTGTAAGTCACACAGTTCATATTTGTAATGATGGAACACGGCAGCAACATGTGCAGACTTTAGTTTGAGCGTCCTCCCTCTCCTCCACGCTGCCTTTGTGTCCAAGCCAACTCCTTGCACCAAGCGAGTGATGCCACGCTCACTACTGCTGTTCGGCAGCTTTATGTCAGAATTCAACAACCGTCATTTCCCAGATCAGACAGTGTGGATGACGATGATCAAGTTTATGAGACAGCTGATGATAACACTAGTGGAGATTCTTCTCATGCTAACAGACACAGATCAGCAGCACTGATCCGTGCAGCATACAGGGTCTGCAGCAGCAGCGGTGGCGGCGCTGACATTGACTCTGAGTGTCTCTGGATTTTGTCCAAACAGGCTGTTTTATGTCTGTTTGTCACATGAGCTCAGAGGTAGCATTGTGATCTGATTGTGAAAGATATCCTTGAATTGTCTCCTTTTTTATTGTAATTGTGTGCAGACGTAAACCAAAGAACAACAACATCAAAAACGATGAGGATGATGACTTTGTTACTGTTCTCAGTATGGAGTCCTGAAGAAACGAATGATGATCAGAGCCTCAGACCATATATCTTTGACAGACAATAACCTCAGTTATCATCAGTCAAAGATGATGAAAACAAACCTGTGATCATCAATAATGATGAGAAATTATCTTTTTTATTGGTGCTGATCACGACCTGTTGAGTATTTAATTTAACTTTCTGTCTCCTAAAGTTTCAGTTAACTTTAAAAATACAAACATGACAGCAGAGGATGTTGTTCTTGTTGTCTTTGAGTAAATTAGCAGGATTAAAACATCAGTACTGATTGAACCAATGATAAGACTGTTTTTAAGTAAAATGACTGAGTTTTCTCAGATCAGTTTCACTCACAGAAGTTGTGTTTTATTTCTGATTTGGCTCTGAAGTTTTCGGTCTTCAAACGCAGCACAGACGATGTTTTCACTCATATGACGCCTTCATGGTGAGACTAAAAGTTGAAGTTAATCCTCCTGGTTTTATTTAGAGTCCCATCAGCGCTCTGACTCCTGTGGTTTATCTGACTCTCAGATCTCATCCTTTTTTCTTTTTTTTTATATAATGAGGTATTCTTGTGTCATGATTATGGTTAGGTTAACCGTGCAGCTCTGGTTTGAACATTAAAGGTCATCACAGGAGGAAGTCCTGGAAGTGTAAAGAAGCTTTTTTGGACTTCTCTTGCTCAGGTACCTGCTATCTTCAGTCACTTCTTCTCCTGGACCTTCAGTGGTGTGGTGACGGACTTTCATCCCACTCTCAGCGTCCTCCAGGCTGCCGGCACCATCAAACATTTATCATAGAGACAGAGTGACCCTCAGTCAGGGATTTGGATGGATAACAGCGAGGTTAACGTGAGTGCAGGGGGAAATGTTCGAGGAGTTGGACCGGTCATGATAGCAGAACTTCAGACTGTGATAGTTGTGTAACCAACTTTAACCTTCACTTTAACCAAAGTAGTCCTGGTCCATGTCTGGGCTGGATCAGAGTTTTTACTTTTGTACAGGTGAGGGCAGCTAAAGACTTTAGAGACTCAAATCAACATTTTGGTCTGAGTACATGATGGGTTCCTTTTGGAAATATACATGAATATTCAGAGTTGACATGTGGAGGATTAATGTTCAGGACGAGGAGAGAAACCTAACCTCCATCAGGACACCTGTCCTACTTGATCTCCCTTTAACTCCGCTCACCTGGGGAGGCTTTGAACAGGTTTAAGGGTGAAGCTGTCACATATACTGAGTCTGTGGTCATCTATGATTGGCTCGTGCCATCTTCATTTCCTGACCTAGGATAGACGCTCAGATTTGGAGCCTTACCATCTCTTTCTCAGTATCATCTGAACTTTCTCTCCTTCTTCGTTTGATCGAAGCCCAAAGTTCTGTCCCTGTCACCGTCCCTGTTCTGTGTGGACTGACCCTCTTCTCCTGATGGGCAGCTGTCACATGATGATGACATCTATGACCTCAGTCTGAGAACGAGGGTTAAAAACTCTCTGTGACCCTGGACAGTGACCCTCGGGTAATAATGCTGACCCTCTGATAGCGCTGGGCGATATGGGAAAAAGTTTATCACCATATATTTTTTCATATCAGTCGATATTGATAAATATCACGCTAAAAAAATGAAATTTAACAGTGTTTATCGGTAGCATGTCTTTTCCAATACAATATTCTACTGCATCTGTGAGGTCTTTGTGTCTCTTTGACGTTTTGTCGTAAGGCGTTGCTCTACAGAAAGCGCACTGAATGGTCGTCTGTTTCAGGCGCCATGGGCTCCTTGCTCCTCTCGGGGTTTGTAACTTTTTGCGTTGCACCTGCTCTGCGACGTGGCGCTGCTTCAGGTGGTGAAAAAGATTTGAGGTATTCCCCGACTGTGAGAACATGTACTTGGCATAATTTACAGTAGTGCTGGGCGATTGGACGATAGATATCGTGGGCACGATAGAAAATGTCTATCGTGCCATTTTTATTTTTATCGTTTCGGGCGATAGGCTGTATTTTATCCATAGGGCTTGTGCCATCAGATGATTCATAGTAACAACAACAATAATTGCACATTCAGTAAGTGTATTTGGTGTCGAACGGGAAAGAAAACAATATTTTCTTACAAAGAAAAGGATGCGTTGACATGTAGGCTCGCATTTCTCTTTCGATTTTGCGACATGACGCCGCTTTACGTGCCCTCTTCGTGTCCAGCGTCTCCCGCCGTTGCGGGTTACCTTGGTTACACACGTGAGGGGATCATTGTAAGCAGTGCTTAATTTGTGCTGGAGCAAGTCGGAGCGCGATCCGGGACCTCTTTAGATCGGATCCGGGACCTATTTCAGCCGCTCCGGCACCTGTTTCATCTGCTCCGGGACCTTCCCTGTAGAGGATGACATTTTTCGGGAATTCCCGTGGGTCACGTGATTCCCGCGGGAATCCCACGGGATGGGAGTCATTTTTTAATTATCCCTTGATCGGGACGGGACGGGAAAAAAAGCAACGGGAGTGGGCAGGAGCGGGAACATTAAAAGATGATCATTTTCAGCCGTGTCTAACAACCAGATGAACAGGTGCGTCCATTTTTGTAGTCATCTCTCAGTGAGAGCCAACACTCTTGACCGCGCTAGCAACACAAAAGAACTACAACAGTGGTTTGACTTCCTGTCAGCTGGGAGCGCGGCTGCGCATTTCTACCCTTCAAGCCAGCAGCGAGGAAACGTAATTTTGTGACATTCTGTAGTTTTTCAATCATTTCTGGAGTCGTGGCGAATCAAATCACCTTACCTGTCTGCCCCTGATAGGCGAATAAAGCGCTCGGATTCATGCTCGGGTCTTCCTACGTGCTTCAAGAGTAAAGTAAACAATGATGGAGGCATAGAGCAGCTTTGGAGGAGAAACATCTAGCAGTGTGAACAACCTCTTCAAAGACCTACCTGTTTAATAAAGCCTTTGGTTAGTTTTCCTCTATGCTTTATGCTTTTACTACCTTGCCTCTTACATTGCAACTCTATATTTTTTATTTTTTTAATTCTTTTTTTTATGCCAATCTGTGACTGTCATTCTATTGCTTTTTTTATTGTTGCTGCTCTTTTTTTACTGTGTACTGTAGCACTTTGAGATTTTTTGTAAATGTAAAGTGCATTACAAATTTAATTTATTATTATTATTATTATTATTATTGTTATTATGGAGTGCTTTGGCTCACACTATCGGCGTTTTCTGTGAGTGATGCATAACTTTGGGTGAGTGCAGACATGAACGCACTTCAGCCACGTATTTATTTATTCATTTTTCTAGTTTTAAGTGCTGGTCTTGTACTGGTACTAGTGCAGCTGTATACACTTAAATTTTTCATAGAACTGAAAGCATACCATAGCTATATCATGATATATATCGTTATCGTGATATAAAATGATCCATATCGTGATATACATTTTTTTCCATATCGCCCAGCACTAATTTACAGTACACATTACTCTGCTTCATGTCCGACCTCACAAAACCAAAATACCTCCACACCATCGACATTTTCATAACGCCAGTGTTGTCGACGATGTCGTCATCTGTTGAGCCTTCATCGTCATTTCTGTCGGGGGTAGCACTCATTTTCTTTTTCCTTTTCATTGGCTGTTCGTATAGTCAACCAAAACATGGCAGAATGCCGACTATCAAAAAGCATATTGACCATGTTTTGTATCGATATTGAGGGAAATTGAGGGAATATCATTCTCGTGTTATAGCCAAGGTTATAATAGTTTTGGATTTGTCACTATAGTTTAGTTTTAGTTATTTTTGACTTTGTTTTTCTCTTTATAGTTTAGTATTAATTAGTTTTGACATTTTTTTTCCATTACAGTTTAATTAGTTTTAGAGCGGGCATTGTAGTTTTTATTTAGTTTTGATTTTTGCGACAAGGCTTAGTTTTAGTTTAGTTTTAGTTTTTTCAAACCTTATTTGTCAGGTGCAGGATTCAAAAAGGCCAGAGTAAGTATTTCGTAATACTGTTTATTTTCAAGTCCAACTCACTGCTCACTGCTCAGTCAATGCTTATACTGTACTGTTGGCTGCTGCCTTAAACACAAGAAAATAATATAAACTTAATATAAAGAATATAAACATACAGGCGAAAGGCGGGACACTACCGCCTCCTCCCAACTTTAGCCATTTCTTCCAAGTTGTTCCAACAACACAAGCTCCGTCACAGCACAGCGCACAGCCAGTCAGTGCAGTAAACAAGCACGTCCCAGTACGTCGCTATGATGGTGCTGTAAGGCGCTGACAACTGCCAAAAACTGTCGTAAAATTGGTTGGGAAAATGTGTCGGATTAATTTAAATCCTAAAGGCTAATAAATATTTTCAAAAACGATAACGAAGGACATTTTGTCTATAATTTTAGTTAGTTTCAATTAGTTTTGTGAACACGAGATACAGTTTTTCGTTTACTTGTTTTTTTTTTTGTTTTTTTTTTCTAGTTTGGGTTAACTGCAATGTATTTAAAATTTTAGCTTTCATTTTTAGTTTCATTGAGTTAACTATTATAACCTTGGTTATAGCCCAGCCCTACTTTAACGTGTGTTTGAGGTTTTTAAAGTTAAAAACAGAAAACTTTAGACGGTGAAGATGAAGTTTTTATTTATTTATTTTTTTTAGACCTCTCTCTGCTCCTCCATCATCATCTCTTTAGTTTCTGTTTCAAGAGATGTTTTTTAACTTCCTGGACTTCCCCTCTCATTTCTAACCAAACTGAAAGGTGGTCTGGTCTGGTCCCGGATCAGCAGATGGTTCATATTCAGTCAGAGCTCTTATCTGAGACCAGCAGAGAGTCCCAGTGAACAGATCCTCTGATGTAACCTGCTGTCAGACCCGCTGCAGAGACACTGCAGCTCCCCTGCTCTCTCAGTCAGAGATCAGGTCGTCCCTCCGTCTCTTCAGAAAGACCCCGTCACCTGGACTGGGAGCTGCTCAGCCTCCTCCTCCTCCTCTCCTCCTCTGCTCCTCTCTAACCTACTGCTCCTCCATTTTGAATGATCAGGGCCGGGCATCTCTGCGTGACTGAGCATGACTCAGCACTTTAGCCGCCTGCTACAGAAACTTGATCTCCTCTAATGTTTGGTGGTCAAAGTGTCACAGTGAGCTGTAAATGTTTCTCAGAGCCTCTGTCTCCATCCTGTCCCCTTGGTTTTAAAAGAAGAAGAACGTTAAAGTTCTCAGTCAGGTACATGAAGAAGAAAAAACAGGTCTTCTCCAAAAAACTAACACACAAACTTTCAGGACTTTGTCTCTAAACTTACATCCTCAGTAACATCACTTCCTCTGACCGGGTACAGGACTAGGGTCGTTTTTGAATTTGTCTACTGCTTACTCCTGCTGAACATAGTATACAGTAGATACTGCATTCTGAGTATTGTGTTTGACAGTGATATTCAGTAGATACTTCATACTGAGTACTGTGTTTGACAGTAATATTCAGTTGATACTTTACACTGAGTACTGTGTTTGAAAGTAATATTCAGTAGATACTTCATACTGAGTACTGTGTTTGATAGTTGTATACAGTATGACTGTAAGTCGGCTGTAATTCTGTAATATGGTTGGCCCAGTTGAACTGGTTTCCAGTATGAAAAAGTCCATCATACCCTGGTAAATTACAACGACACTACAGACTAGGGCCCGACCGATATGGATTTTTTGGGGCCGATGTTGATACCAATTATTGGGGGGGGGGGGGGGGGGTCTGATTACCGATTAATTGGTTCCCTGATGAGGAGAAGCAGGGAAATTTGAGGCGGTGGAAATCGAGGATAAAAACTGTACGGTATGATAACCAAACATGTTACCATACCCGACATCATGCGGGTATTTTTGGCATACTGCAAATTTCACTGCTTTTCCCAGCATTTTGGGCAGATCAGTACGAACTGTTAGGATAGGAGGAGAATTCGAAAACGGCCCAGGATTTGATTCCCACCTGGTCCAAGTTTTTCCCTCAGGAGCTCCTTCTGGGTCTGAGGTCATTTCTCGTCTAGCAGGACTCTTGGGATGAGGTTCTGGTCTTCGAGTGTAAATGAAGAGGTTTCTGTCAGACATCAGCTGGGACTACATAACCATCAGCTGACAAAGCCAGACCCAGTGTGGGCCTGCAGGGAGAACACAGACATCTTAGATGTCTTTGTTGGGAGCTAGTCTGCAGGAGAAGACTCGCTGATGTTCTGGATCAGGAGGGTCTGCTGCAGGCCCTCAGAGTCCACTTCTCTGTACTGACTCTGAGGTTTGTGGAGAAGCTGTGCTGTGAGTGTTGAGGTGAATAGAGTATTCTGCTTCCTGATTGGTCCCCTTCAAACCTTCTCCAGACCTCATCTGAACCGGTTCATGAATCGTCGTCTTTGGACCACATCAGAGTTTAATTCATGAAATTGTTCAATTTGGATCTGGTTTGTCCCGAGTCAGAGTCCTGGACCAGAATATTCAACAGAACCAGACCTGAACCATCTGAAGTGTCCCTCACTGAGACTTGACCCTCTTCAGAACCACATCTTCGCCTTCCTTTCTAGAACACGGGTTTATCTGCGGGTCAGAGGCGGTGTTGGAGAACTGGTCCAGTATTGTACCTGCTGTTGTCTGTTTGGGTTCACATCTCAGAGGTTCTGACCTGAACCAGCCCGTCGGGTCGAGGTTCTAATAGTTTAGGATTTTTCATTAAAGTTTAGTTGGTTTTTCTCTAATTCAGTTTAATTTATTTTTTTTAGAGTGGGTTTGTTTGTTTTTATTAGTTATAGTTTCGTTTTTTTTAGTTTGTGTTATCATTTTTTCTTTGAATTACAGTTTTAATTTATTTCAGTTAAAGAAAATGTTTTTTTTAATTTTTGTTTTTCATGATTTCATGAGCTGGAATGAACGATAATAACTCTGTTTCCAGTCAAGGTTCTAATATTTTTGGATTTTTTTATCATAGTTTAGTTTTTTTTGTTTGGACTTTTTTTCCTCTCTAATTCAGTTGTATTGAATTTTTTTTAGAGCGGGTTGGTTAGTTTTTATATGTTTTTTTTTTTTTTTTTAAATGATTAGTTTTAGTTTGAGTTAGTTATCATTTTTTTCTTTGAATTATAGTTTTTTTTTTATTTCAGTGAGGGAAAATGTTTTCTTCAATCCTAGTTTTTTGCTGTTTCGTTAGTTTGAATGAACGATAATAACCCAATTTTCAGGTTATATCTGTGTTTTTGTGAGAACATGATGTCCTCTGGGTTTGCCATATTTTCTTCTTTCTTTATGAACACGAGTGAAGTCTGGCGGTCTCTGATAAGCCTGACTGAGCCGGTCCTCCTCTCTCTTAATCAGGGCCTTGCCCAGCTGGAGATCCTGTGTAAGCAGCTGTACGAGACCACCGACACTGCCGTCCGACACCAGGCCGAGAAAGCTCTGGTGGAGTTCACCAACAGTCCTGACTGTCTCAGCAAATGTCAGCTACTGCTGGAGAGAGGCAGTGTGAGTACTGAGAGACAAACACACACACACACACACTCCAGTTTGAGAGGGCATCAGTTTTGATTTGGTGCGTCTTTAACCCTTTAATGCCATTTGTATCATATTTCATACATACTTTTATATACTTCTATCAAATCAATGTGATCAACAAATTACTTAAAAAACACCTGAATACAGTCTGATAAATAATAAAAACGTCCTCTTGTAGTTTATCAGTTTCCAAAAACATCTAATGTATCAAACAAGTTAAATAAATATATTTGTAAAATTTTATGGACATTTGGATTTTTTTGGTTTTCAGTAGTAAGTAAAATAAACATTTCAGCTAAAAAAAAAAAGAATTTTCTGGCCATAATTTGTGGTGTCAGGCAGTAAAGGGCCACTTGGACATAAAAGATTTAAAGATATAATAAAAAGTCATCTGATACTGACATCTTTGACTTTCTCATTCACTAACATGTTCCCATCATTGTTTTCATAAAAAAGAGTAAAGATTGAGGAGGACTGAAGAGACACCCTGATAAACCAAGTAGACGTGTCCTCGCCTCTCCTCTGACCCCTCCTCAGATAGAGAGATGAGGAACTTCAGATAAATACACTTGAGGAAACACTTCAGATAATAATACAAGAAACAATCAATAAATAAAGGAACTATCAGGCGTTAAATACTTCTATTTTACAGCCTTATCCTTACATGAATACATTTACTCATGAGCCCTGTCATCTGTTCAGGGAAACATTCAGATCAGAGTTCTGTCAGTCAGTGATTCAGATCTTCACAAGTCTATAATCAGCTGATCACCAGTGTTATTGATTCTCAATCATTGGAAATCTGTCAGTCTTCATTTTTAGACATTTCAGCAGCAAAAAAGTCCAAATCGCATCACCAATACAGAGCAGAAACCTGAACTGTAAACCTGAAACACTCTTTGTTCTGACCCAGTCAACACTGCTGGTTCTGATTCAAACTCTGTCTCCTCTCCTCCCAGTCGTCGTACTCCCAGCTGCTTGCAGCCACATGTTTGTCTAAACTGGTTTCTCGAACCAGCAACCCTCTACCGCTCGAACAACGCATCGACATCCGTAAGTATCGCCGCACTTCAACCCTCCTCCTGTGTAAATGTCCGCACCGACCCGTTTTTGTTTTTAAAAGTTTAAAAAGAATCACTTAAATTCGCTTTTTTGCATCAAGAGTTTTTGACTTTGTCAGGAACCTCTTTTTTAACAAAATTAAAAAAAAAATTAAATTGTCTGAATTATAAAACGCTCCTATATACTTTTGTATACTGACAAAGAAAGGCCCACAAAAAAACTATTATAATCAATATTTTCATGGATAATGAAGCCAAACAAGTTAACCTAGAGATGAGAACCAAATTGGATTATAGAAAAATGTTTTTAATGTATCTTACAGCTGATTTAAGACACGGGTCAAAACCGACACTTAACATAGTGGATACTGCTGAGTCAGGATCGGTCAGGTAGAACCTGAACATGAGTCCGCAGATCCTCAGCTTCTGGACGCCATTTTGCCGCTCTCATGAACTTCCTCTTCTCTCGTGTCGTTCAGGGAACTATGTTCTGAATTATTTGGCCACGCGGCCGAAGTTAGCGGCGTTTGTGACGCAGGCGCTGATCCAGCTGTACGCCCGGATCACCAAGCTGGGCTGGTTTGACTGTCAGAAAGATGACTACGTCTTCAGGAACGTGATTGCAGACGTGACACGCTTCCTGCAGGTCTGTGTGTGTTTATTTTCTTCTCATCATGTGATCATAAACCTGCGGCGGTGCTCTGAGTGTGTGTGTGTGTGTGTTTACAGGACAGCGTCGAACACTGCATCATCGGCGTCACCATCCTGTCCCAGCTGACCAATGAGATCAATCAGGTACCAACCCCTCCTCCTCTGACCTCCTCTCTCATGGCGTCATGGAGGACCCGTCTCACTCCTTTCATGTGATTCTCCTCAGGCCGACACGACGCATCCTCTGACCAAACACAGGAAGATCGCCTCCTCCTTCAGAGACTCATCGCTGTTCGACATCTTCACGCTCTCCTGCAACCTCCTCAAACAGGTGAGACAGGAAAACAGAGAGAAACAGGCGTTCACAACAGTCAGCAAACACCTTCACAGATCACAGCTGATCTAGAGAGGGGTTCACCTTCAAAATAAAAGCTTTAGCTTCTGACACATACTCTCCAAGATAAAAACGAATAATCAGGATGACATAAATAGAAATACTCGTCCTCATGGGATAAAGGATAAAAGGGGAGTAACTTCCAATTTTCACTGCATCTGGAACAACTCTGATCCGGAACAGGGGGGATTTTTCGCCGTATGCCAATTCTTACCAGATTGGTTTATGAGGTGAATTTCATGAGAACTCACAAGAACCTGCGGATTCACGTTCAATCGTGCGATAATGAGTTGTCTCTATAAAGACAGACACATAGACATATAAGCAGTAGATTGTTTCCTTCCAGAGGAGGAAATCTACTTCTAGACTTCTAGAATCAGCATCTCCTCATCCATGATGTCATTGGGGTGAAATGACATCTAAAAACCTTTCACTTGTTTGTCTCTGCCCATTTGCATGGTGTGAAATACGATCCTCCTGAAACACGGAGTGTTTTATTTTGAAAAGAAGCCGGATGTTTTATTTTGTGTCTGTGGCCGACTTCCTTTCCAGCATGGGTTAATCTGTGCTGAATTTATCTGGCATGCTCCGGCATCCGGAAAAATAGAACTCTTGTGATCAGCTGTGGAGTCCGGCTATCCGCAGAGGAACGGAAAGAAGCCGGTGGAAAATTGACACGTTAACTTGAATGGTTACGATCAGCTACGATCGGAGGACACAACATTTTTGTAGCCGTTCAGGATGAAGGTGGAAATTGGGGATTAGATATATTTAAAAACTTTTTAAATGGCAAGAAAGGAGTTCAAAGATCAACTTAAATTTAATTTTCAAAAAAATCACATTTAATTAAAAAAAAAAAAATGATTTATTCGGATGTAGAATGGATTCTCCTCTCCTTTTTTCTCCTCCTCTCTACATCCTACTCTTCCTTCTCTCTTCTGAATGTTGATCTTGTGTTTTTGGTCTCCAGGCTTCGGGGAAGAACCTGAACCTGAACGATGAGTCTCAGCACGGTCTCCTCATGCAGCTCCTCAAACTCAGCTACAACTGTCTGAACTACGACTTCATAGGAACCTCCACAGACGAGTCCTCGGACGACCTCTGCACCGTTCAGATCCCCACTTCCTGGAGATCAGGTACCTGTGAACATATCAAACTCTGAGTCTGTGTTTCAATGACAATGTTCAGGTGTCATTGAGGATTTTACTGAGCAGTCAGAGGTGATAGATGTGTCGGGCCATTTACAACATTTCTGTAAGACCAGAACAAACTGGACTCAGCTGTATCTTCAGATATCTCGTCTGTTTGTTCCAGTTCACCCTTAAATCTTCTTCTGCTCGTGTTTTCACCTTTTAGACCAACATTGTGAGTTTAATTAAATGTAGTCACACAAAAGTTTCCTTGAATTTCAGTCGAGATCTATTTTGAATATTTCTTTGTTTGTAAAAGTTCTGAGAGTCTCACCCAATAAGACTCAGGTTCCTTCTCAGCAGTAAATCTAGTTCTTCCAGCTCTACAGTCTGTCTCTCTCTTCCTGACGCTCTCTCATGTTTTGTTTCCTTGCAGCGTTCCTCGATTCCTCCACCCTGCAGCTTTTTTTCAATTTATATCATTCCATCCCTCCGTCCCTGTCCCCTTTGGTGAGTGCACTCAGCTCCACATCATTCCAGTGTGTGAAGGTGGGAGCTCTCCTGGTTCATACTGGTCTGTTGTGTGTGTGTGTGTGTGTGTGTGTGTGTGTGTGTGTGTGTGTGTGTGTGTGTGTGTGTGTGTGTGTGTGTGTGTGTGTGTGTGTGTGTGTGTGTGTGTGTGTGTGTGTGTGTATCTGCAGGTGTTATCATGTTTAGTTCAGATAGCGTCAGTCAGACGGTCTCTCTTCAACAACGCAGAGCGAGCAAAGTTCCTGTCCCATTTAGTGGACGGAGTCAAGAGGATATTGGCAAACCCACAGGTGTCTTACACACTAAAACACACACTCTTAACACACTCTTACACACACTCCTCCTCCTCAGCCTGATCACGCTCTTACCCGTTTGTGTTTCAGTGTTTGCCCGATCCGAATAACTACCACGAGTTCTGCCGCCTGCTGGCGAGGCTGAAGAGTAACTACCAGCTGGGTGAGCTGGTCAAAGTAGAAAACTATCCTGAGGTCATTCGACTCATAGCGAACTTCACCGTCACAAGTCTGCAGGTCAGTCCTCGCTCTAGACATGCAGCTCTCAAAGTCCAATCCTGAGGGTCCAAAGGTCCCTGACATGGCTTTTGAAAATCTCTGAAGTGTCCGAGCATTAGTGTGACTCCGAACTTGTGTGTTTGTGTGTCAGCACTGGGAGTTTGCCCCCAACAGTGTTCACTACCTGCTGAGTCTGTGGCAGCGTCTGGCGGCCTCAGTCCCCTACGTCAAAGCTACAGAGCCCCACCTTTTGGAGACCTACACACCTGAGGTCACCAAGGCCTACATCACATCGCGACTGGAGTCGGTCCATGTCATCCTCAGGTAGGATCAGCTGATCTCCAAGTCTCTCACACACTGGAAGATATTTAGATATTTGACTGGTGACAGTCACATCCAAAAGTGCTGCTAGAACAGACCCTCAACCAACCGCATGACTGCAGCATGTAAACAGACAGGTTTAACCCTTTCTGCTCTGATTGTGGCGTTTCCTCAGAGACGGGTTAGAAGACCCTCTGGACGATGCCGGCCTTGTTCAACAGCAGTTGGACCAGCTGTCGACCATCGGGAGGTGTGAGTATGAGAAGACGTGCGCCCTGTTGGTGCAGCTGTTCGACCAGGCGGCTCAGACGTACCAGGAGCTGCTCCAGTCCACCAACTCCAGCGCCGCTGACATCACTGTGCAGGAGGGTACGGGTAAAGAGGAGCCCAGACTTTCCAGCAAACTTTGCTTTTTTTCACGTGATGAAGAAACATTATCCATACATGATTAAGAGAGTGAATGTAGCTCTGACTGTCCTCTCTCCGCTCTGCAGGTCGGCTGACGTGGTTAGTTTACATCATTGGGGCAGTTATTGGTGGACGGGTTTCGTTCGCAAGTACGGATGAGCAGGACGCCATGGATGGAGAGTTAGTCTGTCGGTAAGAGTTTGTGACTTTTATTAGAGGTTTTTACCTCTTTCACCCTTTTTACATGGTAAAGAGCTTTTACCCATTTGTTTATTTTATTTTATTTTCTTGTTTGTCCTTCAGGTTTGAGTCTTTCCTTTTACCATTAAATTTTTTTTATTATTTATGTATTTATTTCATTTTTTTTAAAATCTTTTATCTCCAGTGTTTCCCAAAGGTAGCTCTTTCCTCACACAATGTCTCGGTATCAGGCCATGTTTCTTTAACAATATATCTTAAATTGGGTGGCTGAGCAAGGGTGTGTGTGTGTTGTTTAATTGTTGTTTTTAGCCTCTGTGGGGCACTCAGAACTGGGAGATTATATGATCGTGATAAAATTCAGTTCGATCACGGTGATCAGCTGTGAGCATATTTGCTCGATCAAACATAGCGGAAATGTGCGTCACAACAGCCTATCAGAGTTGAGCTTTTTCTGCTCACTCCTGTAAGTTGCTGGAGAAGTAAACAGGAGAAGTAGACAGAATGACCGAACGTGGAGATAAACGCGGAGCTGAGGGCAGCAAGATAGATGTCAGCCGTGACTTTGAGTCCTCCTCCGAAGATGTTATTGTTGAGAAGAAAATTTATTCAACGTCAGTTGTGTTGCGGTGGTTCAAGTATCTCCAAAGTGACGTCTACATTTACATCATCTAATGTTGACATTTAAAGACGTCTTCATTATATCTGAGGGGGACATTTGTTTATTTTGGGTCTTTTTACTGCAAAAACACTCAGGACTGTAAACTAGTTCACTGTATTGTTTAGTATTTGTCAACATTTGTTGTTCTGTTGAGTTAAAATTGTTTTTATATTTTTCTAAGTGTATCTTATTCTTTGTTATTTACTTTGTATGTTAATAAAATGTTGAACTAATCTCTATTTTCTTTAGTTTTTAGTACAGATGCTTTAAAACAGGCAGTTAAAAAAAATCATGATAATAATCGAGATCGGACGATATGACAAAATATACCATGATCTTTTTTTTTTTTTGGGCCAAATCGCCCAGGCCTACAAAAATGCATTTTTTGTCTGAAAAGTTCCATATGAATCAAGTTGAATTTGAATTGTGTAACATAAACTATGTTCCTGCTCGTCTTCAGGGTGCTTCAGCTGATGAACCTGACAGACTCTCGGCTCGCTCAGGCTGGAAACGAGCGGCTGGAGCTGGCCATGCTCAGCTTCTTTGAGCAGTTCAGGAAGATCTACATCGGGGACCAGGTGCAGAAATCCTCCAAGGTGAGCCGAACCCTCCTGAAGCTGTCAGTGTGGT